TTTGATTTTTGTACTTGATTTATATGTTGATCCCACATTTCTCCTATTATTATTATTATTTTTATTTTTAATAAAATGCTGAAGTGGTAGGTAGATGCAAGATAAAGGTAGAAAACATAGTTTGGTAGCTAGTTGTTTTTTATATTTATAACAAAGAGGTACTGAAGAAATATTTGACAATTTAGGCTTTTTCTAGTTCTAGGATAGTTGAGCAACTTTTTGTTTGGAGGTTTACTATTTTTTGGTATCTGATTGCAGATATCTTTTTGAATCCCTACTTTGGCCTTCACTGACCACCTATTGAGAATCTTTTTCTCTAAGAATATATGGAGAACAGTTTTACCTTCATTTTATCTGAAACATTTACTTTTTCTATGTACTTCATGTAATTTTTTTGGAATTTGGATAGCAGGTTTTAAAATTTCAGTAGTTGCAGTTTGTAGCATGTTTTCATATTTTGTTTGGATATATAAATTGCAGTTGTTTTATTATGAGCTAGTTTCTTTTTTTCTGTATCATGACCACACTGTAGCAGTAAGACAGGCCCCCACCCAAAATTTGGTTTGGCTGTCAAAAGTGATGACCCTACGGACACACCGAGAGGATGTTAAAAGGTTATTACAGAATAAGGCTTCTGGGGGAGGAGAGAAGGGTTGGCTTCCCAGGCTGGTTCAAAATGATCTGAGAGAGCAGGGAAAGGAGGCTGGGGTAGAGGATGTGCTGGGGTGAGGGTTCCCAAGGGTAGGGCCGTGTGTGGTTTGAAACTCCTGCTGTTGCCAAAGGATGGAGCACTTGGGCTTGCTTATCAACTTTCCCTGAAGTGAGGAGAAGGGGAAGGGTGAGGGATGAGTCTTGAAAGCTGTCAGCATCAAAAATGAGGTCTGAAGGTTTATTGCAGTCTAGGATTATTTAATATCCAAATTTGAGTGTTTGACTCTTCTCTGTGTGGACAGAACTTCTGCAAAGAGCAAATAAAAAGATCTTGTCTCTGTTTAAGGTATAAGACTTGTAAAAGATTTGAACTTGTTTCTTATTGGCCTATTTAATTTGAATGTGTAACATCAGAGAATATATATTTTCCTCTTTTCCTCTCATATGAATGATGGCAAGTTTGTTTGTTTGTCTTCTTTCCCAAATGATTTAGGGTTTGGAAACACTTTTTAGAAGATGTGGTTTTGCCAATGTCTTCTTAAAAATAAAACCACATGTGGGTAGAATCAAACTAAGGTGTCTGAAATGGCTTGTCCACTTTTATTTATTAATGGTTTGATAGAGAGTGAGCTTTATGAATCCTCAGCTTCTAGCAAGGGTCTGATATATAGTTGGTTTTCAGAAGTGTTTGGTAAATTGATCCTTACAAAATGAATAATTACTTTATTGTTTTAAAAAATGACTTATTGTTATATAGAATTCAATCAGCATAGAAAATCACTGAAAATAAAGAAAAAAATCCCCATAAATCCCACCACTCAGATATTTTAATCATTAACATTAGATAAACATCAGCACATCATTCCATTCGGTAGTAAACTGTTACCAGAAACAGGTTGGGGGTGCTATGGGTCAGCCAGTGTATGTCTCCAAAGGTCTGAAGCAGGAGAACCCTGGGTCAGTTCTGAGACTGAACAGTGTAAGACACACAGCTAGGCCTTGTACTCCATGTTTATGTGTTGTCACATTTAATCCTCACAGCTCTAGGACGTACACTTATCTCCTCCATTTGCTCAGATGAAGAATCTGAGACTTGGAGTGAGAAGCTAATTTTCTAGTGACACCCAATTAGCAGTAGGCAAAGACATGATTTGACTCCATGCTGTCTGGCTTCCAAGCTGGTATGTGTAATTAGTAGCATTGGTAGAAATGAGGAAGGAGAGGTAATGGGGGCAGGAGCTCAGGTCATCTGAAACCTTGTATGCTTTGCTGTGCAGTTTGGACTTCGTCTGGAGTCAGTGGGAGAGTAAACAGGAGAGTGACATGACTGGGTTTCTGTTTCAGGAAGGTAGTCTTGGCTTCCTGGGTGGGCAGGGCGGGGTGCCTCAGGAGGGACTTCACTTGTGGGTTGTGGGTGTTTTCCAGATAATTCGTAAGACCCATTCATGGGGATTTCTTTTCTTCCCAGCTTTGCTTACAATGTGATGCAGTTTTTTTTTAACTGTATAAAAGAAACACATACTCTGAAGGCAACTATTGGAATTCCTTTCTTTTCATCTTTACTTGTAGAATCCAGAACATCCTAACAAGGATTATATAATTAACTTTGAGATACGCTCCCTGAGAGATAGTCGAGCCTTGATTGAGAAGGTTGGAATTGAAGATGCATCGCAGTTCATAGAGGACAACCCACACCCCCGACTTTGGTATTTAAAAATAAAAAATCCTTCCCCAATGTCTTGTTTATGCCTTTAAAGTCACAGCTCTATTGCTCCCAATCTCATGCTAGCCTCTGTGGGAATAGGCTTCCTTCTCGCTCCTGTCTTTAAAATACAGAAATTCATTTAAGATTTGGAAATACTCAAAATAAGTACAATATTAAAGGAAGCATGTGTAAATGTATTAAAGTAATCATGTGTTATCATGTTTCACTGGTAACAATAGGTATAGTAATTGAATTCTGCTTCAAGACTTGTTCAGCAGTAATTTGCAATAGGCTTTTCTGTTTCTTTTGTAAACAAAGGCGCCTATTGGCTGAAGCAGCTCTTCAGAAACTGGACTTGTACACTGCAGAGCAAGCATTTGTGCGCTGCAAAGATTACCAAGGCATCAAGTTTGTGAAGCGCCTGGGCAATCTGCAGAGTGAGTCCATGAAGCAGGCTGAAGTTGCTGCCTACTTTGGCATGTTCGAAAAGGCTGAAAGAATGTATCTTGATATGGACAGAAGGTAAGTAATGAATGGGCAGGCATCCCAGAATACTTTCACAGTTCATGATTTTTTTTACAAATGAGGAAATAAATAGAATAAATGTATCATACCTTTACTTTGAGAAAGTAATTTAAGTTTGAATTACAACCTAGATATTCCACGTGCCCCTCGTTTATTTATGTTTTGTAACTTGGGAGCAGTTTTCTTCTCTGTTTTTATATATATTAATGGCTGGCCATGGGACTTTCTCATTTTGCAGAGCAAAAATATCATATTGACCACAGAGACTGGGCTCTTTTATCATTATTACACAGCCCATTATTTGGGATCTCTCTGTTGGCTTAGGCCATTATTTAATTTTCCATTTTAAAGGAGCATGAAATGAAAATCAAAGGTATTTAGGGGTTGAGTTTTATTCCTTATATTTCATTTTAGATTTATATTATATAATTATGAACTTCATTTCAGCTGTAATCATTATGTCTAATTTTCATTAATATTATTTGTACTTCCAGGAGAGCCCTAATACAATTTAAGCCCTGAAAAGAAAGATAAAGCTCAAAGTGTGTGTTTTTAAATAAGCCTGATTAGATCAAAGAAATCAGTGAAAGAAGCAACTATTATTGAAGTAATTATTTTGCCAAGGAAATTGGAGGGCCAAAAAAATAAAAGGCAGGAAGTTGTTTCCTTTTGTCTATTCCAGGTTCTCCCTGAGGCCTTTACTTGGTCAGGTTAAGGTACTAAAATGTTTGGAGACTAAATCTGCCTGTCTGTTCACTGCTGGGTATTCTCAGTACCCTACAATTGAACCCAGTACATAGTAGGCACTTGATCAATGTTTGTCAAATGAATGAATGAATCAGTGAATGAATGAATGTCATTGCTTATAGAGATCTTGCTATCGGCCTCCGGCTGAAATTGGGAGACTGGTTTAGAGTGCTCCAACTCCTGAAAACTGGATCTGGTGATGCAGATGACAGTCTCCTTGAACAAGCTCACAATGCCATTGGTGACTACTTTGCCGATCGCCAGAAGTGGTAGGTAATCTCTCGATTGACAGAAGTGGTAGGTGATCTATCTGAACCACTTCATTCATTCATGCAGCACTTAAAATGGTAGCTGCCTGTGAACTTCCCTATGAATTAATGCTAGGGAAATAGAGACTATCTGCCTGGATCCTAAAATTCAAATAGCTCTAGATTCACAATGGGGAGCAAGAGACCCTAAAAGTTGTCAGGTAAGCACTCTAAAACTTGGGAGTTTCCAAACTCACAAACTTGCTCTTAATTCCCGGCAGCTTTCTACTGTTTGAAAATTGCACCACAGGGTGTGATTCTAAGACATTTTAGGATTTTTTCTCTGAAAAAGCCAAAAGAAAGCATTTTTATTGCTTATTTTACTATAGATTATTTTCAGAAATCATTGGCTTTTATTTCTAAGTTTTCATTTTGATCAATCTTTTTATATCAGTGTTTGGGAGTACAACTATATTTGAGATTTATAGAATGTTTCTTAATGCTCAAAGACTGTTGCAATTAAAATATTTGGCAAACAGTCTTTAGGTTTTTTTCCCCAGTTCATATGCTTCAAAGATATTCTGTAACTGAAGATGTTGACTACAGTAATGCTCGTAATTCTAATGAAGGAACTTTTTTGTGAAAGTGGTAGTTATCAGGAGATTCACCTTAGTTTTTTTTTCTTTTGGTATCATTAATATACAATTACATGAGCAACCACCAAATACCCCATTACAGTAACTGTCCATCAGTGTAGTAAGATGCTATAGAGTCACTACTTGTCTTTGTGCTATACTGCCTTCCCTGTGCTCCCCCCTACATTATGTATGCTAATCATGATACCCCTATTCCCCTTCTCCCTCCCTTCCCACCCACCCTTCCCAGTCCCTTTCCCTTTGGTAACTGTTAGTCCATTCTTGGGTTCTGTGAGTCTGCTGCTGTTTTGTTCTTTCAGTTTTTGCTTTTTTCTTATGCTCCACAGATGAGTGAAATCATTTGGTACTTGTCTTTCTCCGCCTGGCTTATTTCACTGAGCATGATCCCCTCTAGCTCCATCCATGTTGTTGCAAATGGTAGGATTTGTTTTCTTCTTATGGCTGAGTAATATTCCATTGTGTATATGTACCACATCTTCTTTATCCATTCATCTACTGATGGACACTTAGGTTGCTTCCATTTCCTGGCTATTGTAAAT